GTTTGGTTTTCGACCAGAAGGAACGCAGACGCAGGAGGGTGTGAGCTTAGGGCGTGTCCGGCTGGGTTGGGCCGCGCGTGCTGAGGGTGTTTGTTCTCCCGCGAGCGGCGTTCCACGACGTCGACTTGCTCCACGAGCTCGTCGTCGTCGTCGGGGCCGCAGCCGACGGCTCGGGCGCAGAGGCCGCGAGGGTCTGCCCCGTAACCAAGGCCGACCGTGGTGCGTCGTCTCGTCGCGGCGTCGGTGCCGAGCGGGTGCCCATGCTCCAGCCCGACACGGTCGGCCTCCTCTTCGCCGCGGCCGGGTCATCATCAGTCTTGCCGGGCGTCAGTGCTGGCGCTGCTTCATTCGCCGCCGCCGAGGCGTGAGGCGTCTCAGGCGGCGCGTCTGTAAGTGTGCGATCGGACTTGTCGGCGTCGCTGCTCGGCGGCGTGAGGCCACTCAAGGATCGGGTGCTCCCCAGCCCGTCGGCCCGCTGGCCCGTCCTGGCGCTGGTCGAGCGCCAGTCACCGCCGCTCTGCTCGGAGTTAAAAACGAAGGTAAGCTCGTTGAACCCAGAAAAACAGGGGTGCGGCAACGTACGTTGGAGAGGCTGGGGGACTTGAAGTCGTCCAGCGAGGGGGAGCGCGGAGGAGCGGGACCACGGTAGCTGCCAGCCTTGCGGGGCTGCGGCGACAGCGGCGCGGGGATGCCATCACGACCGCGCAGCACGCCGCTCACCATCAGTCCGCGCCGGGAGCTTGCCTTGGGACGCACCGCGAGCGGCGACAACGGTGGCGATTCCTGGTAGGCCGAGCCCGGCGCCTTCGGTGGTGGCGAGGCCATCGAGTCCGGTGCGCCATCAGAGTCAGAGTCCGAGTCGGCAGCATCGTCGTCGTCGGGCGGAGGCGTCACAACGTCGCGCTTGGGCGGCGCGGCCTTCTCGCTTTCGAGGCGCGAAAGGAACTCGTCGATCCACCGCCGCTCCTCCTCGGCTTTCTTCGCCCGCTGGACGGCGTCGCCACCGCCAAACTTCGCCCCAGCGGCCACGCCAGCGTCGCCGCCATCGTCGTCGGGCTCGTCCGGGTCGTCGTCTACCTGCCGCTGAAGGCTTTCCTTGCGCAGCTTGAGGAACTCCTCCATGAACTCGATGATGTCGCCCTTGGAGCAGCGCGACGCCGCCAGCTCCTTGATCGACTGCGTCAGCACACGCGTCTTCGGCTCTGCAGCGCCCACGGCCCGAACGTTGACGTTGACCCGCTGCGCAGCTCGCACTCTGCCAACAGTCGCGTGTCGATGAATATTAGCAAATGTTGTGTTGACTTGGCGCACCACGCAAGAAAGGAGTACTTTTGTTGTCGCTTCTGCCGGAGCTGCTTGTCGTGCCGCAGTCGGAGCTCGGCCTCGCGTTCCAGCTTGGCCTTGAACGTGGCGTCGGCGTCGGCGTCGTAGGTGGCGATGTCGGGACACACGCCCTGGATGATGGCGTTGATACGCTCCACGATCTCCTTGCACGACGGTCGCTCCTCTACAGCCAACACGCACTCACTCACTCATCAGTCCCGCTCCGCACGCACACATTAAATGAATGTAAGGCCGGCCTTGCATGGACGTACCAGGCACTTGAGCCCAACAGCGCTCGATGAGCTGCTTGTAGGAGGGGATGCATGAATCGGGAATGGCGGGACGCTGGCCCTCTTTCACCTGTGGGACCGAGTGTCGAGTGAGCGCACACATTTACAACCAGGAATGCGTGGAATGATGCGTGTGGTGGTGGTGTGTGTAAATTGTACCATGTCTTCGAGTATGGACATGAACTTGACGTGGCCGAAGAAGCGCTCCTTGGTGAGGAGCTCCCAGAAAATGACGCCCAGCGAGTAAACGTCGGCTTTTTCGGTGTAGGCCTTGTTCTCCAGAATCTCGGGAGCAAGCCACACTGTGCCGATCGCCACATTTACCATTCATGGGTGAGAGAGGTCCACATCAACGATAGAAGGTGGGCGAAATGCGGAGGGCGGAGGGCGGAGGGCGGAGGGCGGAGGGCGGAGGGCGGAGGGCGGAGGGCGGAGGGCGGAGGGCGGAGGGCGGAGGGCGGAGGGCGGAGGGCGGAGGGCGGAGGGCGGAGGGCGGAGGGCGGAGGGCGGAGGGCGGAGGGCGGAGGGCGGAGGGCGGAGGGCGGAGGGCGGAGGGCGGAGGGCGGAGGGCGGAGGCGACGACACTTGGCAACAAGCAAATGTGAGATGGCGTGCGT